AAAAAAAAAAAAAAAAAAAAAAAAAAGGAAAAACAGATGCGGAGAATTCCAACTAAAGGCAGTATGTTAGATCCCACATCGGTTGGAGTAGTTAAACGAATCATTCCTTATAAGGGTGTGTAAACCTCTCCCTAGCACTCGTGTTTTAAAACCGTGTGGCTGACGAAAATACATAACGGGCCGAAGCAGTCAATATCGGTTAGCGGTGGGCTTGGGCTGTTACACAATATATTTATCAGGGGAAAGAAAAAAAAAAGAATCAATCCAAAGAAGCTGCAGTAAAGCTCTAGGCCTCTAGTTGGGTTTCTGTATATGAATCTTAGCTTTTCCAACAAACCACCGTATGAAAGTAATTCAGGGGAAGCATAAAAATATCCCCAGAGCAACTGTAATGGTACAGATGCAAAGATAATTCTCCTCCAACACTCTTCTATTTATCGCGATTTTCAGTTCGAGACCTTTGCAGCGTTGATTTTCATTTTTCCACTTCTCAAGTGATAGGTGGTGATTTTGTATCTAAAGATTGATTTTAAAATGATCAGTTTGAGTCGTACTTTTGGTGGAAGCAATCCTGGGTTTCGTGCTGAAATTGTTCATTCAGTGAAGAAACTTCTCAATCTCATGTGCGGCTGTTCTTTCATTGCCCACCCTTCTGCCTTTGCTTCAATTTCTGTAAGTATTGAACTCCCTCGTGTCTGTGGATCATGTTGATTTATACTTCACTGTTGTCCTATCATTTCTTCTTCTATATTGATTTCCCGCTCGACATCCAGATCGGCAGGTCAAAATGGAACGGAAACGTTGGGAATTCAGGGATAGTTGTAAGAGTCGACGCTCCACTCTCGAATATCCGTCGAACTTCCTTCTCTGTTCAGATAAATACTGGGATCGAGTGTTGATCTTATAAAACATGCGTTTTTGGGAGTTGTAAGTGTATATATATATATAGTCCCAAAACTGTTCTTAGTTACTTACCAGATGTATGAATACCTACCAACTTTAAGGCCATCGTCTGTAAATTAAGTCACAGGTCCTTTTCTGGTTTCTTCTCTACTTTTAAACCAGCTTCTGCTTCAACTCCTTTGGAAATTGTTCAAAAAGTTGAGAGTTTGGTAGGTGTCGAGCATATACAGGGTTGATACCGATGTATTTATGCTCGTCGAACTATATATACCCGTATAATGTTATGAGATACCAATCTGTGCTGTTCGTCGCTACCTTGGGTTACCACTTAATTCGTGTCTGTGGGCCATAAAGAGAAATAACCTCGACGTTTCCTTGAGTCAACTCGAAACCCGACCTGATTATTGATTAGGGAGAAGAAGCAGTAGAGGTGTTCCCCAGTTTTCAACCAAACAAAATCTTTGTCTTTTTTAGCTGACTCCCAATCGATGATCCAATCACTATCGGCCATGTGTTGTAAGTACGAATAATAATCATTATTCAACCAGTGAGGTGGAAAATATTAAATTTATAATTTTAAAAATTAATTTAACGAAAATTATTTTGGAGATTAATATAATATATTTACTTGACATTGTTTAACATTAATTTCGAAACGAAATTCTACAATTCAAAATAATATTTTACCTTAATTCTCAAAAATTTACTATTGATTAAAAAAATAATTAGTTAATTTAATAAAATTCTATGGCACAATGTTAAAAAAAAAAAATTAAAACTTTTTAATAAAATTATTAAATTCCCATTGCAATTCAAGTCAATTTCTTCCAAAGTTGAGGATAATTATTTATTATAATTATTTTTAGCTTGAGTAGTTTTGTCAATCAATGCCCTTCCTTTTCTCTTCATTCATCCATATTAATATTAATTTATATATGAATTTACAATTTTAGCCTTTTGTAGTCAGGTGATCTAAGTTATTGATATATTCAACGTGTTTTTTAGGTCTTGCAAATATCATCCATCACATTCGTCACTCGAATACTAAAGGAGACTTCCATATCAACAAAATTTTTCTAACCCGAATCTCGAACTTCTTCTATTTTCTTTCCGTTAAAAAAAAAAAAAAAAATCCTTAGACAAAATGAGGAGACTAACTCGTTCAAAAAGAAGATATGAATAACACTTCTAACGTTCATATGAGAATCGTTGAATTTCATATATGTTATTGTATAATTAATTAATCAAACCAAAATTATACCTTTTTAGCTGATTTAAGAACAAATTTTTTTAATTCTCGACAATATTAATGATAAATATAAATGAACCGACACAAGAATGTGGTTGATCTAATTTTTTAAAATATTTCTTACAATAGAAAAATAATAAAACTATGAACCAAACACGGTTTTCCAAATTTACGAGGTTCTTGTCTCTTAATTTTCATCAATCGGCAAGTTGGGTTGGAAGTATAAAATGAAATGACAAAAATAGCCTTGGAATATATGAATTATTTTATATCTAATTTAAATTTTCAATTTGCTTTCACACATGCAATACGACGACGTTTCAATCCATTCCCAATTGTTCAATTATTTTCAATTTTTTCCATCAACTTGATTGAAACGCGTCGTTTTGTGTCTGCATTCTTTTGACCCTTCTTATCCATTATTATTAATGTCTTTTTATTATCGAATTTTATATCATATTATCTACTTTGAACATAAACTTTCGTGGTTTTGCTTCGGGTTTTTTAAAATGCCTCGTATCAATAGAGATAACATTCTTTTATCATAAACCCATGATCATTCCCTAAATTAGCCGATGTGAGACTTTCATCAAACGTAGGCCAATATAAGGATCCAAACCTAGTTTATTGTCCAATCCAAATCAAAGGGTTCTCTTAAAATATATATATGTATAGCGTGAAAGGAATTCAAATCGACAACACGAGATTATGGCTCACAAAGACACCTTGTTGAGGTCGTAACTTCTTAGATTTTTCACTATGACTGCACTTTCGAGACTTATACTAACATAACTGTTAGTCCAGCCGAGACTCAAGACTCACACAGGTATATTTATAATGGTATAATATTATCTATTTTAAACATTTTTTACCATTCACAAAGATATTTACTACACGGTAAAAATGGTTAAAAAGTTTTTGAAGAATCACTTGTGAAGGTCGATAAAAGGGAGTGTTAAAGACTAGAGGTTGACTCTGTTCATCATTCATACTCTCTCTCTTTAGTATTTAATTGAAATTCAGTGATGAGTAAATGAATTAGGTGATTTTCATTTCATTTCATTTCATTTCATTCAGGCCTTCCTCATCCAAATCCACCGCCGCTCCGAGCCATGTTCTTGCCTCGATTCCTCGCCGTCGTTTTTCTCTCCTCCCTCTGTTTCCTAACCCTCACTACCGGAGCCGCTCGCCTGCCGGACGACGAAGGTACGCACGCCGTTACCGACTTAGATCTGGATTCCGCAAATGTTATCGGATTCTGTTTTGATTCCGATTTTTTGTTTGATTTCTTCAGTCGAAGCGTTGAAGGAGATCGGAAGGACATTGGGAAAGACCGACTGGAATTTCGCCGCCGATCTATGCGGCGGCGTCGGCTCCGGTTGGATAACGAATTCGACGCAGTTCGATCCAAGTTTTGTTAACAATGTTACCTGCAATTGCTCGTTCCAAAATAATACTGTTTGTCACGTCACTAACATGTAAGTTCTTCCTCATTTTCTAATTTAACTTTTTTTTAAAAAAATTCTTTGTTTTTAGATTTTTTTTTTTTGTTTTGTTTTTTTCGCTTTTTCTATGTAATTATGATTATAAAATCTTAGATATTGTTAAATAGTTTTTTTTTTTCGATTTTTCTATGATTTATAAAATGCATGAAATTAAATTTAACTTTAATTTTATAGTCAATAAATATTTATTTCATAGATTTTTAAATTGAAATATAATTAAGAAATCTTTTATTATATATATATATATATATATATATATATATATATAATTTATACTTTTCAACACCAACCAAGGCAGCTATAAGGCCAATCAATTTATATATTTTTTTATTATTAAATATTGTGTTTAATATAAACTATTATTAATTAATTTAGGAACCTCATATATTTTATATAATTATTAGTTTATAACATCATTTTTTTTTTAATTTGAAAAAATAAATTGAGTTTGTTATATTAATTCAATTTATTATCCATTTGTAATATAATTATATATTCTAAAATTCAGATATTAAAAACATAATTTTGAATTAAAAAACAGTTTTTGAAAATATATCTATTATTTAATCAAAAGATTAAAAAAAGAAAAAACCAAAAAATTAATTATTTATGATTAAAAAAATTGACCAACATTCATTTTCGTCATTTTTTTTTTAATTTCTGACATCAAATGGAATTATTAAATTTGAAAATGATATTGATGAATGAGGATGAATAAGTTAATTTTATTTATTTTTATCAGACAATTAAAAAGAAAAAAAAAAAGAACGGCTGGCGCGTATGTTAGCCAACTAATTCCGAATGTGCGCCCAGGTCCCACTTGTCAACTGGACAAATAAATCATATAGATTTTTTAGAAAAAGTCAAATATAGTTGACTAGTCAACTATGCCACGTAGGATTCCTGGTCATCGGCTGCGGCTCCGTCTTTGGTCTGACTCTAATCCACGTGATGGCTTACTGTTTTATGAAGTTTTAAAAAAAATAATTTTAATTAATATTTTCTAATCAAGAATTAATGACATGGTGGGATGACGTGGCAATTGCAGTGCTCTGAAGGCGCAGAGTCTTCCAGGTACTCTGCCGCCGCAAATAGTGAGGTTGCCTTTCCTGCAGGAACTGTAAGTATTGTTCATTTACTTCACGTCCAGAAATGTTTTCGTTTGCTTGATTATCAACGTTTCTTCTCTGTTGATTCAGTGATCTCACCCGCAATTATCTCAGCGGCCGAATTCCTCCAGAATGGGGTTCATCCAAGCTTCTCAAAATGTATTTTCTATCCCTATATTTCTATAATTTGATTAATTTTGCTTATGTTTATGGGTAATTTTGCAGTTCCCTTCTTGGAAATCGATTGACGGGTCCTATCCCAAAAGAGATTGGAAACATCAGTACTCTTGCGGAGTTGTAAGTTCTTGTTACCCAATTGTTTGTTTCCCGTTTTGGGTTTTGAATGAGTTGGTAGAAGATTAATTTCATCGGTTTGATCGCTTAGGGTTCTGGAAATGAATCATTTCTCTGGAAGTATACCTCCAGAAATTGGGAATTTGACCAGCTTATCAAGATTGTAAGACCCCTCGTGTTTGAGTTTTGTTATAATGATTTTGACATTCAGGAGAGATTTCTTATGATCTTTCTTTTTCTTCAATTGTTTGTTGTAATCCAGACTTCTTACCTCAAACAACTTTTCTGGGGAGCTCCCACCGTCCCTGGCAAGGATAACCACATTGACGGACTTGTAAGATTTTGAGTTCTTCTTCAACCCTTCATTTCGTTAGTTTAATCTTGATCAAATGAACAAATAAATGATTCAGTGAAATGAACTTTCTCATTGTTACCCTGCAGTCGAATTAGTGATAATCACTTCACAGGGTCAATTCCTAAGTTTATTCAGAATTGGAAGAATCTTGGAAAAGTGTAAGAAATTTTCTGTAATCTTGCTACTCTATATTTTACATGGTTTCTAGTCTGTTAACTCTTAATTAATTTTTATCGTGACAGAGCTATTCAGGCAAGCGGGTTGAGTGGGCCAATTCCTTCTGAAATTGGACTTTTGACAAATTTAACTGATGTGTTAGTCTGCTTCACATTCCTTGTGGTCTTGTAAGTCAAAGGACTATGGTTCCTATTAATTCATATTTGAGTTGCAAAATGCAGGAGAATCAGCGACTTGAATGGCGGTTCATCGCTCTTTCCACCCCTTGATACTTTGACAAAATTGAAAGTCCTGTAAGTTAATCCCTCTGTGAAAACTTGAAGACATCCGTCGTATACTTAATCCCAACAATTAATTTAGTTTTTGGTTGTCTATAGGATATTGAGGAGTTGCAATATAACTGGGGTGCTGCCCGACAATCTTGGTGGACTTACAGCATTGAAAACTTTGTCAGTACAATTTTACTCTCTGACTCTGTCTAGATGCTATATCATGATAATCGCAGTGTCATGAATTTTCATATGATAGTTAATTTCTTGTAATGAATTATTACATGCTGTTTTTGTACTATGACTTTGCATGAAATGTCGAATGAAAAGTTTTTTTTTTTTTTTTTTGCATTGATAAAGTTTTCGTATGCTATTCTTACATATCCAGAATCCAGATCATTTGCTGCTGGGAACATATTTCTTGACAACATTATTAATTTAGTTATTCGTTACTGTTTTTTTTTTGATAAGATATTCGTTACTGTTTTTTGACAATACTTGTTTGCTATTATTTTGCTTGATTTCTTCTGCAGAGACTTTAGCTTCAACAAAATTACTGGACCAATACCTGCCAGCTTTGAAGCGTTGAAAAAAGTGGATAGCATGTGAGTACTTTATCTTGGTTACTGGACCAATATCTTGTTTCTTGTTCAAAAAAGGCAATCCAGGCTATGCTCACATTCAAACTTTAATTTCCAGTTACTATGATCTCAATATGTGTTCATAGATTTTGATATTGAGTAAATTGTTTGAATATGATCATATCCTGGGTTGTCAGGTAGCATGTTCATGATAAGACCCTTCTTGCCTTATTTCTTGTTAAAAAAAAAGACAACTTCCTTATTCCTTATTGTCAAAAGTTCATTAATTGCACTACTCATCTGATCTTTTCTTGTTTAGATATCTATCTGGAAACATGCTAAATGGATCAGTGCCCTCTTGGATGCTACAACAAGGAGAAAGCATGTAAATTTCTTTTCGAATTGCTTTCTGGTTACATGAATTGGTATTGAGGTGCTAAAATTGAAAAGAGATGAGCTGAGATTTCAAAATAAAGGAAAAATATTTAGAGAGAGAGAGAGAGAGAGAACAAATAGTATCATATTACTCCAATCCTTGGAAAGGAAAAGCACCTTACTTTACACAACCATTTCCTTTTCCAGTGATATAAGAAGGAAAATTTGTTTGTACCTGATTTATGTTTTTGTTGTGTTTTTTAGTTTATTTTTTAAATAATTGATACCTGAAGATTTTCTTTGAGAAAAGAGTTAACAGTTGAAGAGGTTAAATATAGTTTTTGGCTCTGATTAACATTCCTATGGTTGTTTTTATTTTTCCTTGGGATGTTAGGGAAGGGAAAGTTTTTGCTCTTGCTATCTTATTGTTGTTGGTGTTTTTTTTAAAAATTTTTAGTTATTTATTTACAGCGATCTCTCTTATAACAAATTTACTCGGATAAATGATCAGAACACTGGTTGCCAATCACGAAATTTGTAAGTATGCCTTTAATCTTACACGACCTTTTTTGAATAACAAATGAAACAATCCTATCCAATCTCTTCTTTTCCCTTGCAGAAACCTGTTTGCGAGTTCTTCACAGGACAATAATTTGTAAGTTTTTCTCTAATCTTTGAGTTGGCTTGTTGTTTGAATTTCCTAATGTTCTAATGACCACTGATCTTCTTGTTTTAGGAATGGAGCAGTTTCCTGTTTACCGAGCACTTGTGGAAAAAGTGAGTTGAAATCTTGTTTTCGTAGTCTCATTTTTTATTGGAGGGATAAGGTAAAAACTAGAAATTATATTAGATGGATTTCCACTTCTATATGTAATGTGTGAATGCAAGGAGTAATGAGTGCAATCTACATCTGTCAGTAAACTCCCATATATTGATAAAACTAGATCATAATAGACTAATAAGACTTCATAGCTATTAGGATCTGATGTTGCTATTTAGATTTGGCATTGATATGTTTAATAGACATTCAGCATCCATCAGTTCTGTTCATTTGATTTATCTTCCAATCAAAACCAATATGGTGTTGTTCCTTGCAGCTTCGTACTCTCTCCATATCAACTGCGGTGGGAAGGAAGAAACAATTAACGGAACACCCAAATTTGATGCGGACACAAACACTGGAAAGTCGTCATTGTTTTCTCAAGGTGGAGAAAATTGGGGATTTAGCAACACTGGTAATTTTATGGACGATGATCGCACAACAGACGATTTTATCGCATTAAACTCATCTGCTCTCTCAATATCAAATCCTGAATTGTACATGAGGGCACGCATTTCTCCGATCTCTCTTACTTATTATGCATATTGCATGGGTAATGGAAACTACACAGTAAGCCTCCATTTTGCTGAGATAATGTTTACTGATGACAAATCATACAGAAGCCTTGGCAGACGCTTATTTGATGTCTACGTTCAGGTAATAGATACTGCGCTTCTGCTTATGAAGAAATTATCTTATTCTTTGCCCCACTTCGAGATATCTGTGTAGATTTTTCTATATTGTTAGTTTCTGCTGGTATCAAACTTACCGATTACTTCGTTACCTTGAAATTCCTTGATGTATACCAATATTGCAGGGAAAACTGGAGTTGAAGGATTTTAATATTGCAGATGCAGCAGGTGGTATTGGCAAACCTTTTGTAAAGAAATTCACAGTTTCTGTGACTAATGGTACTATAGAAATCCGCCTATTTTGGGCTGGGAAGGGGTCAAATGCTATCCCTGTGCGAGGAGTTTATGGTCCTTTAATTTCCGCCATTTCTGTTGATCCTGGTAGGTAGACTCATTTTTTCACTTCAAGATCATCAGAGCCATTTCATCTATCCTGCTACATTATCAAACCGTTGGTTCGATGTACTTATTTCTCATTGCTCCAAGCAGACTTTAAGCCACCATCAGAGGATGGACATGCCATATCTGCTGGTACAGTGGGTGGAATTGTGGCTGCTGTGGTCTCTGTTATCATCTTGGTTCTTGGAGTGTTGTGGTGGAGAGGATGTCAAAGAAAGACGGGCACACTTGAACAAGGTAATTTCAAAGCATGTGTCATGAGATCTGAACTGTTATTATTGACTTTTTCAACCCGTCTTTCAGTTCTAACGTTAGCGATAGTTGCAAAGTCGTGGATATTAGTGAGATTACATATATTGGTCAGTTTAACTTGTGTTGAATTGGACAAAGTTGACCATTAAAAAGCCTGTAACTTTCGGAGATTCCATGCATACGAGATAATGCGAGGAATCATGGGGAACTAATTTAAATGTGCCGATTCTGCAGAGTTGAAGGGTCTAGATCTCGGAACAGGTTCCTTTTCATTAAGACAAATCAGAGCTGCCACTAACAATTTTGATGCTGCCAATAAGATTGGAGAAGGAGGTTTTGGTCCTGTTTACAAGGTACTACTGGCGTGTCGATTTCATTATTTCTTCTTTCCTTTCAAGGATTTTATATTTTTGGTGTGAAGTTCTGTGCTGGAAAATGCAGGGCGTTCTTGCCGATGGCACCGTAATTGCAGTGAAGCAACTCTCTGCAAAATCAAAGCAAGGAAATCGTGAATTTGTGAATGAGATAGGGATGATATCTGCATTGCAGCACCCTCATCTAGTGAAGCTTTATGGATGTTGTATTGAAGGAAATCAACTTTTGCTTATATATGAGTATCTGGAAAACAATAGCCTTGCTCGTGCCTTATTCGGTAAAAATATTTCCGTACTACTTTCGACTATGATTCTTCAGAATTTTTTTTTTCGTATATCGGTCATGACATCTGGTGTATCGTAGGACCCCAAGAATGTCAGCTGAAATTGGATTGGCCAACTAGGCAGAAGATTTGTGTTGGTATAGCCAGAGGTTTAGCATACCTTCACGAGGAGTCGAGACTTAAGATTGTTCACCGAGATATCAAAGCTACCAATGTTCTGCTCGATAAAAACCTCAACCCCAAGATTTCCGACTTCGGTTTAGCCAAGCTGGATGAAGAAGAAAATACACACATCAGCACCCGGGTTGCGGGAACATTGTGAGTTACCCTGGGAGAAAATTTCTTCCATTTTCTTTCCATGCTTTTACAATATATAGAGAAATGATGAAGGGAAAAGGTTTCTCGTCTGAATGATTGCGTGAGGGGGAATGTTAGTTTGTTTTCTTTAAATTTAGTTTATTTGAAAAATGTACCATCCAAATATTCACCCCATCACACTGTTACTTTGCAGCGGGTATATGGCACCAGAATACGCCATGCGAGGCTACTTAACCGACAAGGCAGATGTTTACAGCTTTGGCATTGTGGCGTTGGAGATAGTTAGTGGTCGAAGCAACACGAGTTTCCGAACCAAGGATGATTGCTTTTACCTTCTTGACCATGTGAGTTAACTCTATCTTTCACTCCCCCGTGCTTATCTATTGTGTTCTGTAGTATTTATCACATCATAAGAAGGTTGATTGCTTATGTAATAATCCAAATCCACCGCTAGCAGATATTGTCCTTTTTGGACTTTCCCTCAAAGTTTTTTAAATGCATCTACTAGGGAGAGGTTTCCACACTCTTATAAAGAATGTTTCGTTCTCCTCTCCAACCAATGTGGGATATCACAATCCACCTCTCCCCTCGAGGCCCAGCGTTCTCGTTGACACTCGTTCTCTTCTCTAACCAATGTGGGACCCCTAGTCCACCCCCTTCAGGACCCAATGTCTTTTCTGACATACCGTCTCGTGTCTACATCCCTTCGGGGCTCAACCTTCTCGTAGACACATCATCTGATGTCTGGCTCTAATACCATTTGTAATAGGCCAAGCTCACCGCTAGCCGATATTGTCCTCTTTAGGCTTTTCCTCAAGGTTTTTAAAATGTGTCTACTACGGAGAGGTTTCCACACCCTTATAAAGAATGCTTCGTTCTTCTCTCCAACCAATGTGAGATCTCACAGTTTCTCAAACATGATTCTTATACTTGTAATGAATCCCGGCATTAGTTTGCTGAAACTAATGCCGAAACTATTATAACCTGTATTGTCAGGCTAATACTCTAAAAGAGAAAGACAGTTTATTAGAGCTTGTGGATCCACGGTTAGGGTCTGATTTCAACAAGAGAGAGGCAATAGCGATGATCAACATTGCTCTCCAATGCACAAACGTCATTGCTGGGGACAGACCCGCCATGTCCTCTGTGGTGAGCATGCTGGAAGGGAAGGTTGCCGTGAAGGAGTTGGTTTCAAATCCTAGTGTCTCAAAACAAGATGTGAATGCAATGTGGAGCCAAATTTATCGCCAGAAAGGGCAAACGACAGACGAGAGCCAGACGCAAAGTTCGACGATGGATGGACCATGGACTGGTTCTTCAACAAGTGCCAGTGATCTCTACCCCATCCTCATGGATTCTAAATACTTGGAGAATAGAAGCCAAGGTTGATATTACTTCGTCCTCAATCATTTTCTGCTTGCATCTTACTATGTTACCCTTCAAAACTTCGAATATATGCTTGTTGCTCTACAAATGTTTTCTCCCCCCTTTTTGATTGGCAGTACCATGCCTAATGGCCAATCTCTACTCAATTACTGTAGATTTTACAACTTAAATTGTTTTATAGTGTTCAAAGGAATTGTTTTATAGCGTTCAAAGGAATTTTGAGTTGAAGTTTAAATGTTCGAACTACTTCGTTCCTTGATGCTAAACTATTTCGGTCTCTCGGCTTCTAGGGGTCGATTTTGTCTTTCATCTCTATAACGGCCTAAATCCACTGCTAGCAAATATTGTCTTCTTTGGGCTTTTACTTTCAAGCTTCCCCTCAAGGTTTTAAAACGCATCTGCTAGGGGAAGGTTTCCATACCCCTTTAAATGGTGGTTTGTTCTCCTCCCTAACATATGTGAGACATCACAATCTCTTCACATATTCAAAGTTTGCCTTGGTCAAGAGAAAAATAAAACTGGATACACTATTAACAAAGAGATTAAAAATTTTAATTTCTAACCTTACAAGTTACCGAGCTTAAGAAATTGTTCAATTATTTTCATAAAGTTGACAGATTCATTCATATAATGCTCGTTTACGGCTTATCAAACCTCAATCTCTACGACTAAGCTAAAAAACTATTAAAAATGACACGAAATCACAGACGCAAGTAACAAAGATCGCTACTCATACGGGTTAACTTTAAGAATGAAGGAAGTAAAATATGTATTCATTTTCTATATTAATTATTATTTTCATTTCTAATTTTCTAATTTTCTAACCATACAAAGGGTAAATTTGGAAACGCCTCCAAATTACATTTTAGGAATATCTAAAGGTATAAAATAATTATAGAAGTTCAAATATAAATATCGATTTTTCTTAAATAAAGAGATTATTTACTAGTATCGTATGTTAGACGTACACGACTCTCCACAATGAAATGATATTGTCCACTTTGAGCATAAGCTCTCATGGCTTTGCTTTGCGCTTCCACAAAAGGCCTCACACCAATGGAGAGTATATTCTTAGATTATAGACCCATGACCATTCCCTAACTTAACCAATGTGGAACACTTTCATCTAACATTGTAAACAAAATCCATTCTCATTTCTCAACTTTGTAAAAATTTTCATTTCATCAGTAAAAAAAATATATTTTATATACTTTTAATTTTAGGAGATTCTTGTTAAAATTTCAACACAAATTCCATTACCAACATTAAGAACGAAACTACGTAGATTTGGCTGTCGCTTCCCAAATTTCACAACTAAAACAAACTATAATTTTTCCATAATCACTTTTTAAACGCCCCTGCAATCACCTCCCTCCTCCAAATCCACCAATCTCACCCTCTCCGCCGCAAATTTCATCATCCCCTTCCCTCCGCCCACTCTCTGCTATGTTTGCGCTTCGATTCCTCGCCGTCTTTCTTCTCTTCTCTCTCGCTTCCGCCGCCGCTCGGCTGCCGGACGACGAAGGTACGACGAAGCCGCTACTGTATTTCGAATCGGATTTTGATTTTGATCTTGATTATGATTATATGTATCAGTTGAGGCGCTGAGGGAAATCGGAAAGACATTGGGGAAGACGGACTGGAATTTCTCGGCGGATCCTTGCGGCGGTTTGAGTAGCGGTTGGGTATCGGCTTCCTTCGAAACTGGTTATTATAATAACGTCACCTGCAATTGCACCTTCCACAATCATACCGTCTGCCACGTCACCGGCATGTATGTTCCTTCTCACCCAATTATTTCCTTTTATTTTTTTTGTTCATAATAAATTTCTAAACCAAAAAATAAAAAATAAATAAATTAAAAACTTAGATTTAAATCTAAGTATTTCTGACCACTAATATCAAACCACGTTCAAAATATTATTTTATAATAGTTTAGCGTTTTAAAACATGAAGTTAACCACTGTAGGTAATTAGTTAAAACTGACAATATCTCGAGACTTGAGCTTTAACAGTTTATTTGTTCTTCGATATTTTTATATTTTTATTAAATTTTGGATTTTATCCATTAATTTCAAATTATAATAACTATATTAATTTAACTTAAAATTTTTATAATTGAACCGAATAATTTTTTTTTTTTTTTGAAAAAATTACTACGTAATTTTCTCTTCAGTATTTCTCTATATAATATTATGTTAATTTATGAATTTAAAAATTATTATTATTATTTAAAGACTAAAATTATGATTTATTAAAATTAAACAGGTCTCAAAATAGTATTTTAACAAAAAAAAATATTTAAAACAATTTGATATATCTTTTATGTTTTTTTTAATAATAATTTCGTAATAAAACGATAAACAAATTTTTTATTTATTTAAATATATCATATATTGTTAATTAAAACACCATAATTGCTTAGAGAAGTATTTAAGCGGATGGTGCCACGTGGAATTTTTAAATAATATAAAAAAAAATTATATAAACGAGTTTCTTTTTTGTCGTTAATTTATTTTTTGGCGCCCTCGGTGGCATGGCGTTGCAGTCGTCTAAGGGCGCAGAGCCTTCCGGGTACTCTGCCACCGGCAATAGCGAGGCTGCCTTTCCTGCAGGAACTGTAAGCGTTTTTCTTCTATTCTTTATTTATTTGCCTCACATCTTCTCTCGTGTGCTTGATTATTAATGAAATTCCCGACAATCATTCACTCGTTTATTCTCTCTGTTAATTCAGCGATCTTTCCCGCAACTATCTCAGCGGCCCGATTCCTCCAGAATGGGGTTCCACCAAGCTTGCCAACATGTATTTTCAATCCTTAAAGATTTATATAATGAATTCAGGAAGTGGATTATATGGCTTATGTGTGTGGGTGATTTTGCAGCTCCCTTCTTGGAAATCGATTGTCGGGTCCAATCCCAAAAGAGTTGGGAAACATCAGCACTCTTCTAGAGTTGTATGTTCTGATCACCCTATTGTTTATGACCCCATTTTGGGTTTTTGATGCGTTGGTTGAGACTAATGTTACTGGTTTGGTCGCGTAGGGTCATTGAAGTTAATAATTTTTCTGGAAGTCTACCTCCAGAACTTGGAAATTTGACCAATTTATCAAGATTGTGAGACCCCTCAACCCTCATGTTTGAGTTTTTTTTTTTTGTCATTTTCTTTCAAGTACTTGTTTTAAATTGTCTCTAGTTATAATGATTTAGGCATTAAGGAGAGCTTTCTGCTGATCATTCCTTTACCATTGTTTATTGTAATCCAGACTTCTCACCTCAAACAACTTTTCTGGGGAGCTCCCATCTACCTTGGGAAGTATAACCACCATGACGGACTTGTAAGCTTATGAAACCTTCTTCAACCCTTCATTTCGTTAATCCAATTTTGAGAGAAGGAATGAATAATTAAACAAACCTTCTCTTTGTTATGATGCAGTCGAGTTAGTGATAATCACTTCACAGGGTCAATACCGAAGTATATTGAGAATTGGCCAAAACTTATAAAACTGTGAGAAATTTCCTCTAATTCAGCTACTCTCAAGTATTCTTGGTTGCTAGTGTATTAGCTCTCACTCAACTAATTTAATCGTGACAGAGCTATTCAGGCAAGCGGGTTGAGTGGGCCAATTCCTTCTGGAATTGGACGTTTGACACGACTAAATGATGTGTTAGTTTGCTTCACATTCCTTATGGTTTTGTAAGTTAAAGTACTGTGTGTTTCTAGTTATTCATATTTGAGTTGCAAAATGCAGGAGAATCAGTGACTTGAACGGAGATCCATCACCCCTTCCACCCATTAATACTTTAACAAATTTGAAAACCCTGTAAGTTAATCCCTCTGTGAAAACTTGAGATTTCCGTGTACTTAATCCAGCTATTAATTAATTTCTAGTTGTCTATAGTATATTGAGGAGTTGCAATATAAATGGGACGCTGCCCGAAAGTTTTGATGGGCTGCAAAACGTGCAAACCATGTCAGTACAATTTTTACTCTCTACTCCATCTTGATGCTATATCATGATTAATCAAAGTCTGATGAATTTTTGGAAGATAGTTTAAATTTCTTGTAATGGAATACTGCATTACCCAAAACTTTTGCATTACCACCACTACACAGCAGGGTTATAGAGACTAATGCCTTCTTTACCATAGCATTGTTTTATCATTAACGAGGAAATTTTTATTAGTTAAAAAGAATTGATATACGTTTCCAAAGGAATGGAAAGTTCTCTCTGAAAGTGAAAGAAAAGTTACTCTGGTGCCCCAGATTGAACAAACTGACAAAAGTTATGAATCTGTCATAGTATTTTACATTAATACTCCAACAGTACTAAAACCGTCACTCGTCCCTATGTTATGCCAGGTCCATAATGATGTAAAGATTGCACACTTGTCAAGTAGTTTTTTCTCCCCCCCCCCCCCCCCCC